GTACAGCAAAGGTAATATTTGGCCTAGTCAAAGTTAAATACCGTAATCCACCTACCATACTCCTGTACTCCGTGGCATCCGCAAGAAGCTCTCCATCAGTGAGAGAGAGTTTAGTGTGACTCGGAAGAGGAGAGCGGACAAGTTTCAAGGTATGAAAATGAAAACGTAGAAGAAGATCAGATATAAACTTATGCTGTGAAAGAAATAAGCCGGATGAAATCCGAGTCGCATGAACACCAAGGAAAAAATGCAAATCTCCCAAATCTTTCATGGCAAAACATTTAGCAAGAAGAGATAGAAAATAAAACACTAATTTTGAGGAATTGCCGGTAACTATAATATCATCAACATACAACAGGAGATAGATAATATCATAATGACGCCGAAAAATAAATAAAGAATTATCAGATCGGCTGCAAACAAAACCATGAGAAAGAAGAAAGCTACTAAAATGGTGAAACCAAGCACGAGGTGTTTGTTTAAGGCCATAAATTGCTTTACGAAGCTGACACAAGTGATGAGGGAAGTGTGGATGGACGAAACCTGGTGGCTGACGTACACATGTATACCTCCTCCGTAAGATGACCATGAAGAAAAGCATTTTTGACATCTAGTTGGCGTATGGGCCAACCAAACGACACTGCTAGGGTAAGAACAAGATGAACCGTAGTAGGTTTAACAACAGGGCTAAAAGTTTCAGTAAAATCAATACTTGTCTGCTGATTAAACCCCTGTGCAACCAAGCGAGCTTTATAGCGATCAACAGACCCATCAGCCATATACTTAGTCTTATAAATCCATTTAGACCCAACCACATTCTTATTAGCATCAAATGGAACTAAATCCCAAGTATGATTAGAAATAAGGGCATTAAATTCTTCTGCCATAGCAGCTCTCCACTTAAGATGTTTATTTGCAGATGAAAAACATGTTGGATCAGGTGTGTTAACAATTGTGCTTAAAGTGAAAATAGTTTTGGGTTTAAAAATGCCGGATTTGGACCGGGTTTGCATGGGGTGAATATTCACAACGGGATTAAAACTCTCACTAGAAGTGACAAGGTGCTCGGCTGAGGAAGAACCTTGTTGCTGGGGTACGTTGGGGAACTGCTGTCGGGTATTCACAACCTAGTTGCAGAAACTGCAGGTGGGGCTGTTGAGGACTGCTGTTGCAGGCTGCTGGGAATGGCAGTAGGAACGGAGGGAGATGGCAGTGCATCAGGTGGAGCTGTTGTGGATTGTTGCTGTGGGCTGCTGGGAATGGCAGTAGGAACAGAGGGAGATGGCAGTGCAACAAGAAGAGGGTGGTCACGGCTGGGATGAACAATGAGAGAAGCAGTTGATGGCAGGGTAGAATGGGACACAGTGGTATGAGCAAGATCAGCATGCGGAAAAATACTCTCTAAAAATCTGACATTTCTACTAATATAAACACGACTCGACATTTGCTCAAAGCAACGGTACCCTTTATACTCAGGAGCATAACCTAAGAAAATGCACATGACAGACCGCGGATGCAACTTATTTGCAGAAGAAGTGATAAAATTGGGAAAACATGCACAACCAAAGACACGAAAAGTAGACAGATCAGGTTTGATATTAAAAAGTTTTTCAAAAGGAGATAAACCATGTAGAGTAGGAGAGGGTAGTCGATTAATTATAAAAGTAGCAGTAAGAACGGCATCCACCCAAAATGTAGCAGGCAAACTAGCCGTAATAAGCATAGTGCGAGCTAATTCAAGTAAATGTCTGTGCTTACGCTCAGCAACTCCATTTTGTTGTGGAGTCTCAGGACAAGATTTTTGAAAAACAATTCCATTATCAGTAAAAAGTTTACGCATACTAGAGTTGTCAAACTCACCCCCTCCATCATTCTGAAAAATCTTGATTTTGCGGTCAAGTAAATTTTCAATCATTAATTTAAAATGATGAAAATGAGTAGTGACCTCATACTTACGCCGCATAGGATAGACCCAAGTAAAACGAGAAAAATCATCCACAAAACAAGCATAATATTTAAAGCCTAAATAAGATAAGACAGGAAACTGCCACACATTTGAATGAATTAAATATAAGGCACATGGACTATTATGCAAAACTTTATTAAATGGTAACCGTTGTGACTTGCCCAAACGACAAGAAATACAATCAGAAATATTAGCAGAAGTGACATAAATAAAATTGTTCAATCTAAGCTGATCTAAAACACGAGAACCATAATGTCCTAATCTGTTATGCCAGAGAGAGATGGACGCAGCAGATAGGGCGACAGGTGATGGTGTAGGCTGACGGATGGGATAAACGCCATTATCACTGAGAGCTCGAAGGACCGCCCCCGTTCTTAAATCCTTAACAAAAAAATTTTTTTATCAAAAATCACAGCACAGTTGTTATCAGCACACAATTTTTGAATAGATAAGAGATTGTATTTAATGTAAGGCACATGCAAAACAGATTTTAAGTGAAGAGGTTTGGCAGACGGAGATAATACAGCCTGACCAGAATGCATAACTGGGAGAGTGTGTCCATTTGCTACAATTATAGAATGAGAATTAGGAGAAAAGGATTTATTAAGTAAAATACCTGAATGAGGAGTCATATGCGCTGAGGCATCTGAACCAGGATACCAAACCATCTCAGAAGCATCAGGAGCCTGAGCAGCAAGAGCAGGTGCAGCCAGCTGAACAAATCGAGAGGGACAAGTGGAAGCGGGATGACATGGAGCATAGCAAATTTGACAAATAACGGAAGGAGGAACTGAATTTCCCTCAGTTGAGGAGCCTGCATAACCATGGTTAGTAGAGAAAGTAGACAAGGCATAAGTAAAAAAATTTGATTGAACAGACATGCCCGTTGAACCTGGAGCCCCAAGGATACCAGCATGCGGTGCACCCTATGGAAAATAACCCGGTAGAGGATAACTATAACTAAACTGTGGAAGATAGCCATAGCCGCCGCGACCACGCTGACCGCGTCCTCCGCGACCGCGCTGACCACGGCCACAATTGCCCCTGCCGCGATGTCCGCCACCTGAATGCTGCTGCTGGCCACCTGCGGGCGGCTGTTGTCCGCCCTGCTGCGGCTGGCCACCGCCATGTGGGGGTTGGCCTCCCAGAGGTGTCTGACTTGCAAAGGCATGGGCAGGATTTTCCTCTTGAGCATTCATGTACTGCAGACTGCGTTCCTTTGCAACTAGTTTGGTTTGAAGATTCTCAAAGGTAAAACTATCCGGAAAAAGGTCCACCGATGTAATAAGATACTCATAATCTCGACCAAGACCAAGCAAAATAGACTGAAATAACTCTCTTTTAGACACTGGGGCATTAATAGCTACAAGGCGGTCAGCAATGTCCTTAATGTCACGAAGATATTGGTCCATGGACTGATTCGAACGCTTCTTAGAGTGTGTAAGTTTCTGTTTCTGTTCCATGGAACAAGCAAGACTAGCAGACATAAAATGAGACTCCAAACGATTCCAGATAGCAAAGGCATTTTTTAAATCACGAACTTCAATTAACACATCACGAGACAAGGTAGCAAACAACCAAGAACGCACAGTTTGATCCAGTTTCAACAAATTATAATAATCTGGGTTAATAGTCTCGTGATGATAAGCATCATAAATATATGGAGAGGGTGCAGGAATGGAACCATCTAAAATTCCCAAAAAACCATTGGACACCAAGAACGGTTCAAATTGAATACGCCAAGTCAAGTAATCTTCAACAATAGCAAGCTTCGTAGTAACAATATTCGTAATATTTAGTGCCGAGAAACCAATATTTTTGACCAATTCAGATAAAGAAAAACCTGGATTAGGCATGGCACTAGACCGAGGGGCAATTGGTCCGATTGAAGCAGAAGGTGTCAACGGCGCAATTCTAGGAGCTCCGGCGAATGTGGGACCCGCAAAACTGGAACCGAAGTTAATTGTAGGGGAGCTAACAGTCTGAGAAAACAGAGGTACATGAGATGACTGTGACTCCGGCCTGGAAGGAGACCAGGTGAAGACTGGCAGTACCCACGGTGCATCATCGGACGTCGGGAACAAATTAGGCGGTGGCGGCAAGGAAAAACTTGCGCTCGAAGTTGTCCTTGGGAATCGCAGAGGAGATCCGAACAACGAAGAAGTTGACGCTAGAGAAGTCGACGCATCATATGACGCAGAGGAAGTAGAGAAGAACGGCGCAGTGATAGAGGAGATGCTGCCGGTGGTTGCGCCGCTTGAGCCGGATGAAGCGACGGTAGTGCTGGTATTCGCGGTTGAGGAAGCGGCCGATGACATGATGAGGCCGAATTTTTTTTTTAGGTTAGAAGGGTTTGGCTCTTGATACCTGATAGAGTATATGGGCACAGACCCCATAGCCCACATACTCAAAGGATCAAACTACTAAAGATAGACACCCACTTTGCGTCCCTTCGGCCGTTTGGGTCCCCCATCAGCCAACAAGGTGTCGCATCGGCCAGAACTAAAATTACTCAGGATGCGACATGGAGACAAAGTGGGATCGCGTCGGCCAAGGGAGCGCATCGTCCATGGACAGCATCGTCCGGACTTCGTCCAGGCAGAATGTATTTTCCTATTTTGTGTACTAAGTGTTGTACTCAGCCCATTAGTAGCCCTATTCGCCCAAAGAAGACATGATTATTGTAATGGGTCTCCTAAGCCCAAGGCTAGGGGCCCAAATCCACATTTTTACCAATAAATAGACCCCAAGGGGCTAATTATAGGGGGGTCTGGTTGAGAAATATAATTACTCACTTTCTCTCTCTAGCTCTCACTTCTCTCTAGAATTAATACTCTATCATTTGGTGCTTTCATTGAGAGCTAAGAACAGATCAAGTGAGTACCCTTCGTCGCTACCAGACACTACCACTAGCTATGACAAGAACTAGATCAAAGAACACTGGTAGGAACGCCCCTCTGAACCAGGAAGGGCAGGGAAACGTTGCTGACAACGTCCCTAATGACCTCATCATCCAGGAAGAGGGTGCTCAGGAGGTCGAGCTCGCAGCGGCCGACCTTCACACCCAGCTCAACAAGACTGCTCCAGATGCCCGCATCGGGCTCGAGGACAAACGCGCTGCTGAACGCGCTTCGGGCCAACAGGCTTCTCCCCCTGTTGTCCCCCAGATCAATCCGGACGCCTTATCGGCCATTGTCGCGAGCATCCTCCAGGACCCCAACGTCGTCAGTGCTCTTGTCGCAAAGACGGGGGAAAACAACACCCCAGTGACTGGAGAGGTCGCAACGGTGCCACCACCGCCGCCTCATCCACTTGGTTTCACCTTCTTCGGAGACAACGAGGACGTCGTCGCCGTGGACACCCATTCCCATATTGCCTCTCCTACTCAGGATACACCGGCCCAATCTCGCGGTAAAATCTCGGCCTTCAATAGGCTGGGTGACATCGCGAGCCGTCGGGTACCTTCGAGAAGGATGGCGGATCGGTTGGGTGGCCGCGAGCAGGCCTCGCCGCGAGAGAGTTTCGGATCCGTCTCCCGGACGACGGATCGGCCTCGGTTGGACAAAGGCACAGGAAAGCTGCATGAAAATGACGCACGAAACCAATAACATATCACAGTAAATAAACGACGTGGTACCACCTTCGGCCATCATGTTGAATGTGTATCATATTGTCGTGCGATGGACATATCCCTTTGGCCATGTGTTACATGTGAAAAGGAACATCCAGGCTACTGCCAATTCCATCCTATCTCCCCGGTCAAGAGCTTACTCACCGGTCAAAGTGAAATACAGAGGGATGAACCGGAGGATGATACGATCCTCACCAGGCTTCCCTTCGTCCACCCTCAGGAGCTAAATGCTCCGCCTCGGCCAAGGCAAACAAAAAAGAGAAACAACGAAGGGGAATATTAGTCTCCAAGGCCTATTCTCTTAGAGTAACCCCAGCCGGCACACACCGGCCAAGTGCCACCACGGCTCAAAGTAAAGCGACTGGCAGCAGCCCCTCGTCTCTGACAAGTGCACACCATCGGCTGAACAATTGGGGGAGACTTGCCATCGGCCGCAACGCATCGACCGGCAACACCTTCGGTCGGTGACACCGTCATCGGCCGGTGACATCATCGGCCGGCAACTGTGTGCTTTCCACAGAACGGATCCGTCTCCCGGACGACGGATCGGCCTCGGCCAGAAACGCATCGGCCAGACTGTGTGCTTTCCACAGAACCAATTCTCAGCTTCTCAATACATCAGCAAACAAAAGGAAAAGCTAGGCATAGAAATGATGTGGAAGTAATGCCTCGGCTAGGAGAGCCTATCTGTCAAACCCAAACGAAACAAAAAGCCGAGGTAATCGGGCAGGGCTCCTGCAACGGCCTCTTGTTTGACTCTTTCAAGATGTGCCAAGGAGTTACAGTTCCTTCGGCCATGGAAGGCTCCTTCAACGTCCTTCCTCTGCCAAGTTCTAACAACAAGAAACAAGCTCCGCCTCGGCCGGAGTGAACAGGAAAAGGGAAACAATGGGCACCTCATCAGCCGGCACCCATCGGCCACAGTGCATCGACCGGCACACGTCAGCTGGCAACACCTTTGGCCGGCACATGTAAAGCTCCCCAACGGACCACAACGGCTCCACCATACCACGGCTTCCATTGGCTAAACCTGGGCAGAGGATAGAACAGCACACCATCGTCCAACCTTCCCGCTCCGGCTTGGACAGGAAGTTAGACTGGGTGCCTACCATAAACGTCCGGGCCCCGGCTCTACCTCAGTGGGACCGAACCCCATCGGCCACGCACATACGCCTGGGCCTAAATGGAGCCGATGGGTCCAAGCAAGGCAGAAAGGCGTCGTGGGAATCACGGTGGACTCCATCGGTCAAAGAATTGAGGAAGACTGCCCTTGTCTTGGAAGCAGGAGTCATCCCGGCCAGAGCAGGACCCCACCGGCGGCCAATCGCGAACCCTCGGCCAGAGTGGGACCACTCGTCCGACGGGAGGGCCACCATCGTCCCTGGGTCCCATCAGCGCCAAATCACAGGCCCGTCGGCCAAATTGTGCTCTTCGCTTCCAGAGCTCCGGACCATGGTACGCGGTTATTCACTGTGTTGGTTCAAGCGGGGACGAAGGGAACTCCTCGTCCACAAGGGATGCTTGCGAACAGGCTCCTTCCCACGGGGTGAAATTAGCAAGCTCAATTGCAATAATGGGCTGCCAGTAGGTGGGCCGAATATTAATCACAAAGGTTGGATTCTCAAAGAATAGGCCCAATCAATTATATATCATTGCTGGAATTCTAAGCAGGGCAGGCTTCGGCCCAAAAACAGAATGAGAGCCATCATCAGCCGCACGCGGCATTATGCCTAAAAGAGATAAAACAACACACCTCATTCCCTTAAACACTAATTGCGTCATCCTAAAGCCGTTGCAATAAACAACGCACCTAAAGCCATTGCAATAAACAACGCACCTAAAGCCGTTGCAATAAACAACGCACCTAAAGCCGTTGCAATACACAACGCACCTAAAGCCGTTGCAATAAACAACGCACCTAAAGCCGTTGCGATCCACAACGCGCACACAAGCCGTTGCCTAGACAACGCACCTAAATATCGCATCGGCCCAGCCGGTGAAACACCCAGAAAGGGCCGACGATATGAAGGGCGAAGGACCTGTGTGTATGGTCTGACGTCTTCAAACGGAGAAGCATACCGCGTCGTCCGAGCGGAAACCGCAGAACGACAAGCCTGAATTAAGGCCGAGGTTACAAAAACTCCACCCGTCAGTAAAATTTCACTCAGGACCACAAAGGGCGGCCATAAAAAACACGATAGCTAGTCCGGTCTCGAGTCGCCGATAGACGTGGAAAGGCAAAAAAAGACGCCACTGACACACTAAACCGAGGGCGTATTTACCCCCTCGCACTAATCCACGCGAAAAGCGTAGCGGACAAACTACCGCGTATGAGCAAAGGGACAGTAACCCTTCGGCCATACAACACAAAAAAAAGAGGGAAGTCGACGGACCGCGCACTCGCCGGCCTCGAGCAAAAAAAACCCCAAACTTATCATTCATCTCAAGACCGGCTCTAAATGCCGAAGCTCTTGCCCCATTTCATGAACGGCCTCCCAACGTCGTCATGCCTCTATATGACGATCGTCTCATCTCCGCATCGTCATCATTATTCGGATCGGCTCATCATCATCGCCATCCGCACATCACGACCGGCCTCCCAGCCTTGGCGTGATTATTTCTTCTCAAGACCGGCTTCTCATCACCAAGTGTCTTGAGTTGGCAACCGGGCTCGCCGTCCCTTCCTGGATGGTGACCATTGCCTCTACATGACGATCGTCTCTCATCTCCGCCTCGTCATCATTATTTGGATCGGCTCATCATCATCGCCATCCGTACATCACGACCGGCCTCCCAGCCTTGACGTGATTATTTCTTCTCAAGACCGGCTTCTCATTGCCAAGTGTCTTGAGTTAGCAATCGGGCTCACCGTCCCTTCCTGGATGGTGACCGTTGCCTCTACATGACGATCGGCTCATCTCCGCCTCGTCATCATTATTCGGATCGGCTCATCATCATCGCCATCCACACATCACGATCGGCCTCTTGGCACGACGTGATTATTTATCTCAAGATCGGTCTCAGTCATCCCTTCCCGGATGGCGACCGTTGGTTGGATCTTTGGATCGGCTTCCCAGCATCGCCGGCCCCACATCACGATCGGCCCCCTCGGCCATGGCGTGATGCTTTATCTCAGGACCGGCCTCCTCAGCGCCAAGTGTCTTGAGCTAGCGACCGGGCTCGCCATTCCCCTCCTGGATGGCGACCGTCGCCTGTATATGACGATCGGCCTTATCATCACCTCGTCATCATTTTTCGGATCGGCTCATCATCATCGCCATCCGCACGTCACGACCGGCCTCTCAGCCTTGACGTGATTATTTCTCGAGACCGGCCCCCAGCGCCCAGTGTCTCGCCATAGCGACCGGGCTTGCTATTCCCTTCCGGCATAGCAACCGTCGCCTTTACATGACGATTGGCCTATCATTGCCTCGTCATCTTATATTGGACCGGCTCATCGTCGTCGTCGTCCTCACATCGCGGCCGGCCTCTCGGCCAAGGCGCGATACCTTATATCAAGACTGGTCTTAGCCATTCCTTTACGGGGTGGCGACCATTGCATGGATTTTTGGCTCGGCCCCTCAGTGCCAATACCCTTGCATCACAGCAGGCCCTCAGCCTCGACGTGATCATATTCCCCAAGACCGGTCTCAGTCATTCCTTCATCAGATGGAAACCGTTGCTTGGACCTTTGGATCAGCCTCATAGTGCTGACGACCTCGCATCATGACTGGCCCCTTGGCCACAACGTGATGCCCTATCTCAACACCGGCTTCATCAGCGCCGGGTGTGTTGGGCTAGCGATCAGGCTCGCCATCCCTTCCTGGATGGTGATTGTCGCCTCTACATGATGACCAGCTCATCTCTGCCTCGTCGTCATTATTCGGATCGACTACCCATTATCGCCATCCTCATATCACGACCGCCGCCCCGGCCCCGACGTGATAATCTATCTCAACACTGGCTTCATCAGCGACGTCATCCTCAAGGAGCATGTGTCGTCCATCAAATGGTCGACTGCATCAACGCCGTCGTCCTCAAGGAGCAGGCATCATCCTCATCATCAGACGAACGACAGCGCCTAGTCCATCAAAGGTCCGGCTTCACCAACATCGACGTCCACGATGGGCAGGCGTCGTCCTCAATGAGCATGCGTCGTCCTCACCATCAGACGAACGCCAGCGCCTAGTCCATCAAAGGACCGACTTCATCAATGCTGTCGCCCTTAATAGGCAGGCGTCGTCTTCCATCCTCAAATGGACGTCAACGACTAGTCCTTCATCAAAGGATCGGCTTCATCAACGCCGTCGTCCTCATCTTCGGACAAGCTCCCAAGCTTGGACCATCATCATCAAAGGACCGACGTCCTTCATCGTCAGACGGGCGTACAAGCTCGGTCCTTCACCATCGGACCAGCTCCACCAACGTCGTTCCTCATCATTAGCGCCACCCTTCATCTTCAGACGGGCGTCCAGCGCCGTCATCATCTTCAGAACGGGCGCCCAACGCCTCGTCCTTCACCATCGAACCGGCCCCTCATGGCCAACGCCCTTATATTACGGCAGACCCCTTGGTCTCAAGGGAATCTTGATGATAAAGACACGTCAGGACCCTCGGTCTCAACGTGATCATCATATTATGAAGGCCGGTCTCAGCCACTCCTTTACCGGATGCCGACCGTTGCTTGGATTTATGGACCGGCTCATCATCGGTGTCGTCCTCATATTCAGACAAGGGTTCAACGCTTCGTCCTCATATTCAGACAAGGGTTCAACGCTTCGTCCTCATACTCAGACGACGACGTGATGCTTTATCTCAAGACCAGCTCCCAACACAAAAGCCGTGGTCTAGGGATCGGCCTCAGCCATCCCCTCAGCAGACGCACACCGCCGCGGCTCCAGGACGAAGGGCTCACACATTTTGCTTCGTTTTTGAGGCATCCGGTGCACTCTTTTTCCCCCGTTAGGATTTTTCCCACTGGGTTTTTCCTAATGAGGTTTTTAACGAGGCATCCCGCCATTGTGGATCAAAAGGTGTCGACCCTCGGCCCCCTATTGAAGACACACATCACTCTACTCCTCTTCACCTCATTACATTTGCCTCAAGGAGTGGGGGACTTGGGGACTACATTGGCCTCAAAAAACTAAGCAAACTCAAAAGCAAAACAAAGCAAGATCGTCACATCATCAGCATCACAACAACAACAAATACATAGATTTGCCTTCGGCCAATCCAAAAGGTGAACCTAGAGGACACGCATCATCCTCAAAATGACGAGTCACACTTCATCACAAAGCTACGCATCGACGCCGCAACATCTACACGCCTGTGGGTCAACCTTGGCCAAAGCGAGAACACAAAGGGAGAGCAAAGAACAACGGGCGTACATTGCCTACCAAAGAAACAGTCACGCCTCATCTTCCACAAAGAACAAGCTCAAGGGATCTACATCACCCTTCAAAGACAATGGCAAGTCATCGCCATTAAACAATGCCAATGACATCGGCCATCATCGTCCATCAGCTACAAAGAAGCCACCGGACCACGCATGGCCCCTCATCGGCCAAAAGCAACCAAACATGTTTACTCCCTTTCACTTCGTCTTCTTCTCAGCTCAGAGAGTGGGGGACTCCTGATAGAGTATATGGGCGCAGACCCCATAGCCCATATACTCAAAGGATCAAACTACTAAAGATAGACACCCACTTTGCGTCCCTTCGGCCGTTTGGGTCCCCCATCGGCCAACAAGGTGTCGCATCGGCCAGAACTAAAATTACTCAGGATGCGACCTGGAGACAAAGTGGGATCGCGTCGGCCAAGGGAGCGCATCGTCCATGGACCGCATCGTCCGGACTTCGTCCAGGCAGAATGTATGTTCCTATTTTATGTACTAAATGTTGTACTCAGCCCATTAGTAGCCCTATTCGCCCAAAGAAGGCATGATTATTGTAATGGGCCTCCTAATCCCAAGGCTAGGGGCCCAAATCCACATTTTTACCTATAAATAGACCCCAAGGGGCTAATTATAGGGGGGTCTGATTGAGAAATATAATTACTCACTTTTTCTCTCTAGCTCTCACTTCTCTCTAGAATTAATACTCTATCAATATCATATGAGAATAATTATCAGGCTTAACCATATTGGTAACCCTACCAGATATATAGAGAGAGAATAAATGTCAAAATTATAATAGGAGTCCCCAATAATAAATAAATATAAAATCTACTCTATTACAAATGTCAACTTCACAATATTTAGAATATGAAATGTTGAAAATTCTAAAGTTGAGGATCAAAAGTTTATCACTTACAAAAAATTGATCAATTTGTAACTAGACCTTTTTTTTTACCAATATGTCTCAATTGTTTTTTGGGACCCTTGTTTTTTTATACCAATTTGTCCGATGACTCTCATTTTTTTTACCAATTTGAGAATTTAGCCGGTAAAGCGGTTTCAATGTAATCTTGGACGGGTTGGACGGATGGGATAGGCTGGCTTTTCTTTGGGAACCCTACTCAAACATTAGAAATCAACTAACTTCTTCGGTTATTCCCGCCACACTAAAAAAAATGCATTTGCGCGGTATGTCTAACATATCTAACTATTTTTGCTCCCTTCTGAAGCTCTCCTGCGAGGCACAAAGCCATGCTCAAGTGAAGAAGCTCCATTGCCGGATAATCAAAACCATCCCGAGCATTGAGACATTCTTGCTGAACAACCTCATTAATGCGTACAGCAAGCTCGAACACCACTTGTACGCGCGCCACGTGTTCGATCAAATTCTCAGACCCAACCAGTTCTCGTGGAATACCATTCTCTCAACTTACTCCAAATCTGGGAACTTTCACAAAATGGAGGAGGTATTTCACTTGATCCCGAGGAAAGATGGAGTTTCTTGGAATTTGATGATTTCGGGTTATGCCTCTCATGGGTCTGCTGGTGAAGCTGTAAGGGCATACAAATTGATGTTGAGGGACGGGATGAAGAATTTGAACAGAATCACGTTTTCAACCATGCTTATATTGTCTCTGAGCAATGATTGGACCCTGTTGGGCAGGCAAATTCACGGACAGATAGTGAAGTGTGGGTTTGAGCTGTATGTTTTTGTGGGAAGTCCTTTGACGGACATGTATGCAAAATCTGGCTTAATCTGTGAGGCGAAACAGGTTTTTGATGAGTTGCCCGAAAAGAATTTGGTTCTGTCTAACACAATGATTATGGGGTTTTTGAGGTGTGGGATGGTTAAAGAGGCAGAAAGGTTGTTCATGTGTTTGCTAGAGAGGGATTCTATAACATGGACAACAATGATTACCGGCCTAACACATAATGGTCTTGATATAAGAGCTTTAGAATTTTTCAGAGAAATGAAACGGCAAAAATTTACTATAGATCAGTTTACTTTTGGGAGCACATTGACTGCTTGTGGAAGTATGATGGCCTTGAAAGAAGGTAAACAGATTCATGCTTATGCAATAAGATGGTATCACATGGATAACATTTTTGTGGCTAGTGCACTTGTTGATATGTATTCCAAGTGCCAAAGCATCAAGTACGCAGAAAATGTCTTTAGAAGGATGAAGATGAAAAATATTGTTTCTTGGACAGCAATGGTAGTTGGTTATGGACAAAATGGACACAGTGAACAAGCCGTTCAAACCTATAGTGAGATGCAAAAGAATATGGTTAAGGCAGATGAATTTACCTTAGGAAGTGTCGTTAGTTCGTGTGCAAACCTGGCAAGCTCGGAAGAAGGTGCACAGTTTCACTGTCAAGCATTAGTTTCAGGTTTGATTTCCTTCATCACGGTTTCCAATGCACTTGTGACCCTATATGGTAAGTGTGGGAGCATAGACGAGTCCCATAAATTGTTCTGTGAGATAGAAATTAAGGATGAGGTCACTTGGACTGCATTGGTTTCTGGGTATGCCCAATTTGGAAAAGCAGACGAAACAATTGACCTTTTTGAGAAAATGCTCAAGCAACGCCTTCAACCAGACGAAATAACTTTTGTTGGGGTTCTTGCTGCTTGCAGTCGGGGAGGACTTGTAGATAAAGGGAAGTATTATTTTGATTCAATGGTACGAGATCATAAAGTTATGCCTAACCTTGATCACTATACTTGCATGATTGATCTACTAAGCCGATCTGGACAGTTGGACGAAGCGAAACACTTTATACAAAGTATGCCCTGTCAGCCTGATGCAATTGGTTGGGCAACTCTGCTAAGCTCGTGTAGAACTCGTGGTAATATGGAAATTGGGAAATGGGCAGCGGAATCTCTTTTACATACAGATCCGCAAAATCCAGCCAGCTATGTCTTGCTTATAAGCTTGCATGCTGCTAGAGGAGACTGGGATGAAGTGGCTTTGTTAAGGAAGGCGATGAGAGATAGAGGTGTGAAAAAGGAACCTGGATTTAGTTGGATCAAATATAAGAACAAATTGCATGTTTTCTCAGCTGATGATAAGTCGAGTCCATATTCAGATAAGATATATGTAGAGCTTGAGTCATTGTATCATAAAATGGTAGACGGTGGGTACATTCCTGATGTGAGCTCCGTCCAGCATAACGTTGAGGAGTCTGAGAAGGTTAAAATGCTAAACCACCACAGTGAGAAGCTTGCAATTGCTTTTGGTTTGTTGTTTGTTCCTCCCAAGCTCCCCATAAAGGTGGTTAAAAATCTCAGAGTATGTGTGGATTGCCACAATGCAACTAAAATAATTTCCAGGATCACTGGAAGAGAAATTTTAGTAAGAGATTCTGTTAGGTTTCATTTGTTTAAAGATGGAAAATGCTCTTGTGGTGATTTCTGGTGATATGTTTTCCTCTCTGGTTTGGCTCAATGACATCCCATTGGTGTCATTTGCGTTTAGATGGAGCTGTGAATCCTTCTTGACATGGTAAGACTTGACTCTGGTTTTCATCATATCTCTTATAGGAGATGAACAATCTTAAGCCTCTTTCATTTTTGTCCAAAGATGAATTCAATTATCTCAATTTCTTAACTTATCAAGCACTTCGTATTAGTTTAAACTGTTAGATAGTGTTAAAAATTAAACTTTACTCAAGAAAAATTTACTTTTAGTCACGAACTAATCTTAACCATTAGATTAGTATTGAAAGTGAAAAAGTGAATATGGGGTGTCTATTGTTTTACGAACTTTAAATGTAACCCCTAAAATCAATAGTTAATACCAATGAGCATATGAGGTGATGGCAATGGGTTTTCATCTTCAGGGTTTTAGATGAATGAGGTATCTAGATCCACGGGGGTTCCTGAGGGTGGTTACTAATCTCTGTGTGCCATTGATTTCTAAATCAAAAACAACCCTTTGTACATCTATAATCTATAATACTACATATATTTTAACACCATCTTTCCCTTTTTGTCTATATATAGAGCATTAGAGCGTAACTTCCCCGGATGCCAATCTTATTTCTGTCCTTAATTTGTGGAATGTTACTTGTACATTGCCCTTTATTTGTTCATTTGTTGTATGTTTCTCTTATGTATGTTTAAAGGGGAGTGAGGGTTAATTTTGTATGGGTTGCCATTAAAACTAAATCTCCTTTACTGCCTCCATCTGTTGATGATCTTGTAAGAATAAATGTATGGGAATATGAACTAAATTTTGTTATTGTGGTTTGTCATTTATACTTTGTCTTTGCAGGTTAGGGATTCGGTTAAGCTTTGGGCATGTTTTTGTGCCGCTGCAAGAGATGTTGAGTAGACATCAAATCTTCAAATTAAATCTAAGCTAATGAAGACAGTTGGTGGACTGGTCAGCTGTTATTGATCTATATTTTGTTTTAGGTTTTAGTTGGTTCCAATGTTGCGGCATCCATCTCCCATAGTTACATCTTTTGGGTTTTTTTTTTATATTTTATTTACAAAGAGTTCCATGTTCAGTTTTTATCCTAATTTATATACTTCTGTTTATTTATTAAGCTGTTTTTACAATTTGCTTCCTATAGTTTAGCTAAGTCAATGATATGTGCATCACTTTGTGCCTAATCCAGTTATTACATGTTTTGAGAATGAACCTTTTGTTAACAATTGAAGCATATGCAACTATGAACCTTTTGACTAGTGACTGATGCACCATCTATTTGAATTGTTATGCACCACAATATGGTTTTTGTACGAAACAGAAACAACAAATGCTTACGTGCCTATAGATACAGAATATACGTTGTTTAAAAGTGTTGCTGATAGGGATCTACCTTTTAGATTAATAATAGATAATAATTCTAATATGAATACTAGAAGAATAGATACTGTTTAGTGGGCCTGGTAGTTTTGGGCCTATTATTATAAAGAATACTAAGAGGGCTTATACTATAAATAGAAAAGGGGAGGAAGGCATAAGGTAGGCTTTTAGAGGATTAGTCTTGGGACTGGGAAAGATCGGAGACAAAACATCTCTATCTTTTGGGGCTTCGGCTTTGGGGGCTTCGCCAGTGTCTTCTCCTGTAATCGATCACTTTCATCAATAAATTTTCAGTTGATTTCTTGTTAATTTTCTGTAATTGTTCTGGAATTCTGGAGGTTCTTATCATTGGTATCAGAGAAAAACGATCTTGTTACCTGTAGGAACGATGGAAAATTGGGAGCGCAATTTAGAGAAGATGAACGAAGATACCAGACGGATTTGTGAAGAGAGGCGCAAATTAAGCTTGCAAAGAAACAATAGGTGTTCTGATAAACCATCGCCGTCGCTCAACAAGTCGCAGAAGCAATCGCTGAGAGAATCGCGAACTGGTTCGCACTCGCGAAAGGCTTCGCGCGAAAAAATTGAGAAAGAGAAACGCGTTAAAATGGAGAAAGAGAAGCGCGAAAAAATGGAGAAAGAGAAGCCCGAAAAAATGGAGAAAGAGAAGCGCAAAAAGATGGAGAAAGATAAGCGCGAAAAAGTGGAGAAAAAGAAGAGCGAAAAAGTGGAGAAAAAGAAGAGTGAAAAAGTGGAGAAGGAAAAGCCTTCAAACCTGGAGAAGGGGAAGCCCAAGTTGAGGCAACATCGTAGGCGAGGAAGGTCGAGGAAGGTACGTCGCTGCCTGAATTCGAAAAGCAAAGGTCCATCTAATTCGCAAGATATTTCCTTCAGTCCTCTGGCTTTGACGGAAGCAGAAGTTCCTACTTGGCAGGTTTCTTCACTCACCATATCTCACATCTCATCATCTTTTATACCTTCAGTTAAGGGGACAGACTTTGAAGAGGAGGTTAATCAACCTAAGGAAATGTCATCAATTGTTCACCCTGCTCAAGATTTTCCCCAGACTATAAAGAATATCGTGCTGAAGCCAGCTGAATCTGCAATCAAGAAAACAAATGAGGATAAAATCAAGGAACAATCTGAAATTGCTGGTGTATTAAAGTCTGAAATGGTTCTTCAGGTATGCGATGTTTCTTATCATCTTGCACAGAAGTGGAATTGGCCAAATATCTTCAAGATTGAAAGGATGTGTTGTCCTTCTTTAAACACGACTTTGGAAGGAATGAAGTCACTTAACAAGTTTGATAGTTTAAGATGTGAGGGTTTTACTTTTATAAAGTATATTCTAAATGCGTTGGGGGTAGGAGTGACTCCAAATTGGAAAGGAAAGGAGGATTATACTACTGATTATAAGGTTGACCAGTTTCTGTTGCCTAAAAATGAAAATAGTCCTGCTATCTTCCAAGAGGCATGGATTATTCTTCAAAAACTAAGGAGTACACCAATAGCTTGTAGTCCTGTTCAAAAAGGATGTGAAGATTTGAATTATAGACTTCAGATGGCAATTGTTGTTCATGGGATCAAGATATTCAGGACTTCAGAGAGGGATTGGGAAATAGTTGACAGTCATGACCAAACCATTAAGGGTGAAGGTGTTGTACTATTCCGGGGCAACTTAGCAAGAATAAAGGGGATGACAGTGGATAAAATCAGTGTGGCCCTTGATCCTACTACCCAGGCTAATGTTAATGGATTGGAAGCTGAGGCAACTGGACAGGTGAAACTGAAACAAGGCTTGAAAAGTGCAATGTTTTCTTCTGACGAAGAATATGTCTACATTCAAGAAAACCAACTTTGGAAGTTTTACATGGATAATAGGAGTTCCTGTTCCTTAGTTAGGAGAACTGCAACTGGAATAAGGGGTATCCTTACTTACCTGCTAAAACCTTTGAGGCTTTCCTTCTCAAATAAGGTAAGCAAAGAATTAAAAGAGGAAAAGGTTGAAAGATGCATAAAGGAGTTTGAATTCAGCACAGTAATAGTTTCAGAACATAGAAATCATGAAGGGAAGCAGAAAAGTGAAGTAATAATTTTGGATATGGAGCGGGGAGAGATGACTGAACCAATTGGAGATTCACTTTCTGTTGCTGAAAGTTCTGTGATTTCAAAAGATCTCGTACTGAAGTCCCTAGTCCATCAAACAGTTAGATATTGGGAAGGGAGAGGAACCAGGAAGAGGAAGATGAAGCAGAAGATTTTTGCTTTCTCCTATTACCCACCTTGAGGACAAGGTGGATGTTTTGGGGGGGAAGTATTGATAGGGATCTACCTTTTAGATTAATAATAGATAATAATTCTAATATGAATACTAGAAGAATAGATACTGTTTAGTGGGCCTGGTAGTTTTGGGCCTATTATTATAAAGAATACTAAGAGGGCTTATACTATAAATAGAAAAGGGGAGGAAGGCATAAGGTAGGGCTTTTAGAGGATTAGTCTTGGGACTGGGAAAGATCGGAGACAAAACATCTCTATCTTTTGGGGCTTCGGCTTTGGGGGCTTCGGCCAGTGTCTTCTCCTGTAATCGATCACTTTCATCAATAAATTTTCAGTTGATTTCTTGTTAATTTTCTGTAATTGTTCTGGAATTCTGGAGGTTCTTATCAGTTGCATGCTTGTTTTATAAAGGTTTCGTTCATCTTTTATTCCATCTCAAATATGCCGATTTGTTTCCCACAAATACATAAATGTAAGATTCTAAATATGAATAGAGGCTGACAGGCTGTCTAATATTATGTACTTTTTATTTCCAATTCTTTTTTATCTCTATCAAAAGCCAATGAGAGTCTGAGCGGCTTGATATCAACGTATGGGTGGTAATACTGTTTAACAGATCACCATGTGAGATTTCTTGATTTGTTTTGCATGGTTAATTGTATTGACTTTTATTTGGATTTTTTACTCTTTCTCCATGTTTATTTCATTAAGAACTTTTAAGAAGTAAATATGGTAGAAATCATTAATATATTAACATGCTTCTCTTGCAGGTTGTCATTTTAACAATTGAACAACATATGCAGAAGTTCTTCTTCTTCAGGTGTTCTTTTCCCACTCTTAATTTTCTTTATAACATTTGGTTCTGTAATTGTGCATTTTTAGTTGGTTTGCACACTTTTGATGAGCACTTGCAAGAACATTATATGGAGTACTTCTTAACTAATGCAAGATATGTGTATGTGCCATTTTTTCTTGGAAGTTTCCAAAAATAGGAGTAAGGCAATGTGAAATTCCAAAATAGGAGCATAAACAATGTAAAATTCCAAAATAGGAACATATTTTCCAAAAAATATATATAAGAGAGACTAAAAAAACGGAGCATGTCACATGAAACCATACTACCACATTTTGGGATTACCATACATTAATATGGCTGTTTTGCCATGATCGACGGTATTTTCCAAACATGGTAATAATTGCTCTTATTTAGGGGGAAATAACACTCCTGTTTTGGAATTTCACATTATTTAGGGTAATTTCTTGTTTCCTTCTGTTATAGTATAAGATCGCTTGGTTTAGGTTGTGTAATCTTGCTCCTCATGGCCCCGATATGCTCCAGCTTCATCATCTTCCTTGTTCCTTCACACTTGCAGGTCATATCGAATGGACGCAGGCTGGTATTATTTGTTCGAGGGGTAAGTTTTGTCATCAACCTATGAACCACAATAATGTGGGAGTTTCCCTCTTTTAAACCTAATATTATATGGATCTTCATATTATAATATGAGTATAATAATCCTCTGTTATAGGTCTAGCAGTTTGATGCTAGGAAGTTTTACATAAAAGCTGTATTAAAATTGGGTGCTCAGCCTGGCGAGATGTCTTATTAGTATTTAAGCACCATACCCTAATTGGTTCTAACATGAGATCTTTCCTAATATTTAGTCCCAACATTCACAATAAATCTTTCAAATAAATAGATGGGGGTTGAACTTGTGATCTCATAATGTGGGTGGATATTGATATACTAACTAAGCATATAATGCACGTATACTATCACTGTTTCAGTGTATAATGAGTAATTTAATCTGTATATCTTTACATGTTTTAGGTGGTACTGTAATTACTGGCTCTTGAACTGATAAAGAAATGTGGCCCCATAACAAGAAAATCAAACTGGTAGCATTAAATTTGTCTTGTTTTGGTAAAACGACACATGGTACAATAAAAAGTTTCCTTCTGAATGACAAAATACTTATGAGGCAAACTACTTCTCAGATTTTTAAACTTGAAAAAGGGCCACTATTTGAAGAGCATGAACTGGAGTGAGTTATATAGGATTTTGACAAAGGTTTTGTTCCGCGTGCATTAGCTCTTTTTATGATATGGTTATTATGTCACCCTTTCATTCCAAATGGTAAGGGATTATCTGATGTGTTCAAGCTAATAAGCTCGGCACACAGGTCTTCAAAGAAACATGTGAAGTAATTGAGCTATTGTAATTTTGCAGATTATTGAGATACTGGGGATCTTTTGGAACTAAAGCTTGGATGTTGTTGTATTGAGATACCGGGGAGTTCTCTTATTTGCAATAAATTTTGAACAGTATGAAGGAACTGTATATACACAAGAGCAGTTTCAATCTCTTTCCGATGTCGATCCATGTTGCTCTAATTTTTGGGAAGAAACAAAGGTCATAATCAAATCCACATGTTAACATTCATTCTCTAGACTGTCTACTCATATTTCTAAGTTCTAACTTCTAAGCCAGTGAAAGCAGAAAGATATGAAGTTCAACATTTCTTTACAAAAAAGCGTTATGAAATGTGCATGAAAGGTTTACATGGTGAAGAGGGGGTTGTGATTTGAGGCGTCCTTTTCAAATGCATCAAGATTTTTTCTGCCATTTCCCTTGAGAGTACATCACCACAGTGAAGTGCATCAATTAATGTAGCATGAAAGAACTTGTCCTGTGATATATCTGAAACAGGCTCGGCAGCACGTTTGGATAGAATTTTTTCAATAATCCAAAATGATTTATGCCGCACAGCTTCTTCTCTGTGCTCCTTCACAACATTTATCACATGCTTGATGGATTGCTTTTCGGTCAACAAGATCGCACTCTTGTCTATATCAACTTGGTCATCCAACAGTGTAGATAGAGCTGACAATGATGCCTCTACTACCTCCACATTCTTGTTTTCCAGGCATGCTAAGAGCCTCTCAACTGCCTTTGCATCAACCAAGCAAAATGTTTCTCTTGAAGAGCACATACCTCTATGAATTGGACACAGTGTCACTTTCTCCTGTTTAGATGAATAAAGAGAGAGAAATCTTTTGACTGGAGAATTCTTCAAGTACTTGGTTCTCTTGCTAAACGGTGGTTTTGATAGACTGACTGATTCTTTTGACATGTTTCCAAGTGCAGTTGCCGATATTTTCTTGATTTCACCACTTGACGTTTTTATAAGTAATTCCATGAAGAGTGAAGTGAAGTTATGCATCTTCACCAATTGTAGTATTCGATGGTCATACAATGTAGACGTGAATCTGGCAAGAATTCCCACGAGTCCTTCAAAATATGTATGCACGTGTCTTCCTGTTCTTGCTCCACTGTTATTGAGTTTTTCAATGTGGTCTATGATTGTATGGACTGTTTTACCCTCTATGAGAGCAAGATTCAGTGTCAAATCTTGATGGGGAAGCTTTGCCAATAAATTGGCGGAAACTGCTTGTGTCTCTGTGACAATACCTTCATCATCCCCACTTGAAGGCTGGATCAGTCTTATTAGAGTTTGACCTTTATTTTTGCATATTCTTTCTGATAAAGTATTCCCCATTAAAGGAGAGAGTGTGATGAGAAATTTGATCGAAGCAACACTTAATTCATCATTGGAGTAATTGATAAACTCAATCAGGATATAACCCGCTTCTGTCTCCTTGATTCCAGAAACAATGATAGGTGATGTATTTGGGAACCTCATCAGGCACTGGAGAATTCTGATGAGATTGCAATTAAGTTCATCAGGGTTAGATTTTTTAATCATGTGAATGATTCTGTATACAGTGTACTCTGAATCCATTCTGTGGCCATTCACCTTTACTTGATGGTTCGCCAGCTGAACTCCAAACTCTAGGATATTTGCAAGTATTCCAGTTGCCTCTTTCTTTGAGCCTGTTGGTTCTTTGTAGATTGTCATACCATTAAAGATTTCTTCAATCATGACACTTATGATCCCATCTTCCACAAGTACATTACTACTCATTTGGTGCAGAGATATCTGTTCAAGAGCTTTAAAGGCTGCATTTCTGCTCAGAGTGTTGTTAGTTTGTAACATTTTGATCAGAGCTGGAGATGATCTCTTAGCAACATAGGTGCTTTTTTCAGGTGTAAGAACAATTTCTCCGATGTAGCTTGCCATCTCCATTTTCATCTCTTCTGTTCCTGTTATTTTTTACCCAACAAGGACAGCAAACAGTAACTAGTTTGAGAATTATCCTGAGGAAGAATATGTCACACATGTATATGTCAGTGTTTTTAATTTCCCCTTTTACTTGGATGGATAATGGAACTCTTACTGTATATTTTGCTCTCGAAATAAACTACTACCTGCGTCTCAAAATTTTAAATGTTTTTCTGTTTTAGAAGTTTCGGAATATGTGAATTTTGAAATTTGAAATACGTCATTCCAATTAATATTAGATGATGACTTTTGGAGTTCACTAGTCGGAGTACAATGAGGGTAAGACTGCAAAATTGTATAAAATATTTGAATGATTCAAAAGTTTCTTGGTATTGATGATTTGAAAATATGACATATTTTGAAACATAAGGAGCAACAAAAATTTCCATATACTGTAGTATTGTTCCAATTTGATCAATAAGTGCGTTTTTACTGATTTTACCAATCTGCACTGTAAATTCTCATGCACTACTGGAAAACTTGCATATAAGACCCAAGTATATGCCAACCTTCATTTAGATAATTCATCAAAGGTTCCCAATGTCCAGTTTCTGCCATGTGCTTGACGTTGAGTGAGGACCTTTCCAAACTCTTTAACACTTTATCAGCTACTTCTGAAGTGATTTTATCATCCTGTTTATTCTTGGCTGTTATAAGCATCAAAATAGCTCCAGAAACTTCCTCATTTATATCACAAAAATATTTGCATTCTGAAAGCACGAGAAGAAGTGCAGCTGAAGCATGCTTGACCGGTGAATAATTGCTTGATAACATCCTTATGATAGTAGCGATGCCAATTTCTTTTGTGATCATGTCCTGCATGGATACAACTTGCTAACTTGATGTTTGTACTATGAAGAGTCTAATTTGGTTAGAGCTTTACGGCTTCTATATGTTGGAACCAAACATAAATTTCAAATGGCATAACCCTGAACTATCAAGAAATATCTATTATCTAATACATCAATCTAAAATAAACAATATTTTCATCTAATACATGTAAAACGGGGTTTAGTGACAGAAAGGTTTTTAAAATTGGGGTTTGGGTGGATGACATGAGAGATTATCTTTTGGTTCATGCAAAAGACCCCAACGGTTTGTGATTAGGGATAAATGGGATTACTTTTCTTAATTCATTAAAAGATTCACTTAGAGTCTGTTTGGATCCAAGAAAAGATAATAGGAAGGAAATCATAGAAGGAAATTTGGAAGAATTAAAAATAAAGTTAAATATTTGTGGATGCTCATTTCATTTTATTTTGTCTGTAAAGTTGAAAAAATAATAATCATGTTCCGTTTTCCTATTCATTTTCCATGGTAACATAAGATAATAACTTTTGTTGGCACTTTTTTTCCCTTTCTGTCATTTTCAGGTCAGAAACATAGCATTACTTACATTGACCTCATGGATGGTGAATGCACATGACATAAAAGGGTAAAGGAATCACCTTCCTATCATTGTTCTCTTCAGCCAACTCTCGTAGCAATTTTAGTGTCACGCATTGAATGGTTATGTTCTTGTAGTCCAAAAACTTGGCAAGTAGTGTTATCATTCCAATGCTGCAAACTTGTACCTTAATGCATGGCTCTCTACGACAAACTATCGTCAGATCTTCAATTGCATCTAATATATTGTCCTGAGTTTTGGCTGCAAACAGAGCCTTACAGACCATCTTTATTCTCACTGCTTCATTCGTGTCCTTCCGTTCATCAGTTGTTGCTTTTAATGCCACACCTGGGTGTATTATTCTCCAGGTTCTGTCATTCCATTGATCTGTGGTGCTGTTTGTACTTATAGAACTTTTGTCAGAGAAGTAAAGATAAGTTTCATCATCTAGCATCTGAAGGTTCTCCAATGAAACATCAGCATCTAGAGAGTAAAGATCTGTTTCTGTTTTTCCCATTTCTGTTCTCTCAAGCTCATTCTTTGCAGAACCCAGTGTTTTGGGGTCCCTTTGGAACTTGGAAAATTCTAGGTAAAGACAAAAAAGAGGAAAATGTAAGAGAAGTTTGGAAAGAAAGAAAATGTGAGTGAAAATAAAATATCTGTTCAAACTCGATAAATTTATTTTCTTATACTTCTTCACTCATTTTGTTTATCTATTTCTATAAAGACTAAGAAATCTAAACAGATAATTTTCTTACAAAATTAATCATATATATTTGTCCTTTGCATATTCCTGAATCCAAACATACCCTTGATTTCCATGGATAGTGACTTAGCTGTGATTCCTGCATAATCTCGCTCCCCGAATGCTGAAAATGGCATCAAACTTAGTCCTTTCCCAAGATCTTTTACCACACCTTGAAGCTCTTCTTCCATATGAAAACTTCTCCTCTGTTTCTTGATTGTGTGCTCAGCAAGTTCAAAGCTTTTCCATAGGGACAGTAAGATCTCTGCAACATTTGTTGGAGTGTTCTTGTTGATCTGCAGCTCCATTAGGACTGATGATGTACGGTAAAGATAACTTCCAATTTCAATGAAATTGTTCCTTTCCATCTCTACAAGCAGTACTGAGTTGGTAACCTCTGATATGTCTGCTAGCAAGGACTGGATACTCACAGCTGAATCTTTTTCTTCCATTACTAGCTGAGTAATTAAAATAGATTCACATAGGGTCTATTTGGGTTCTGAAAAATAAGGACTTCCCTGAGTGAAAAACTTGAGCTTGCTGATACCAAAGCATAAGTGCATACATTCTTTCTGAAGGATAAAAGAATCTTATAGAATACTAAATTGAATCTGTCCACATGATACTTGCTTCTTGATTATTTTAATAGTTTATTGAAGGTGACTACTTTCGAATTTTATGACAAAGTCAATGTTTTGCACCTCATTAAATCCTGATGTCTACCATTAGTTTGATATCTCAGGATTGGTGATGGTCTGATGAAGCACTGGCATTTACAAATGCTTACCTGGTTTAGTGTAAGGTTCCTTTCAATCCTCCTATATTTGAATGAGTAGTATTAAAGAAAAGAGAGACAGACGGCAGAGGTCTGCTGAGTAAAGTCAGGCAGAGGCAGAGCCAAGAGAAACCCAACACATAATTTGGTTTAGGTGGATCTGACAATAATACTAGTAGTAGTAACAATAAATGCTAGTATCCGTGGATATACATTGGATTACTTGTCTAATTTTGCTGCAAATTGTGTGCAATTAATGCTGTCCATGTCATCTGGTTAAGGGCAAAGTGTGTAATTTTTCATATTCATTGATAGAGCTATCAAATTGGTCAACCCGACCCAACCCGACCCGACCCGTAACGGGTTATGCTTTATGTGGGTTGGGTTGGGCCAACCCGTTTAATGACGGGCCAGAATTTCTTCAACCCTAACCCAACCCATCTAACCCGTGGGTTAAACGGGTTGGCCCGCGGGTCAATGTAAAAAAAATATATAACAAAAAAAACTTTAAAAATAATTACCCGGAAGTATATATTTATATTAGTAAGTAGTAACAAAAGAAATTTTACCATTACGCTTGGTTCAATAAAAGATTGGATTTTCCAAAGATTGGATTTCAATATAAGAAATCAAAATACTAAAAATTCAATACTTGTTAAGTTTAATTAAAAAATATTAAATACTAGTTATACGAGAATTTGAAAACTATAAGAGGGTATGCGACAAAAATACTCATTGTATAAAAATAAAGATCTACACAAATCTTTTGATTGATTATTTGTAAATAATGACTACTAATTGTTAAATATTGTATCAAACTTCACATAAAATATACTTTTCAACATTTTATTTGAATAGTTATTATAGAAATAAATATTGTTTTGTCATGGTTGTAATTTTTTAATTGTAATTATAATAATATTGATAGTAAAAGAACATTATTTATGATAATAAAATTCAAAACTATATATTTATATTTTGGCCCGCGGGCCAACCCGCAACCCGGTGGGCCAACCCACTTAAACCCGCAACCCGCGTGGGTTGACCCGCGAACTAAATGGGTCAGAAATTCTCAACCCTAACCCACCAATAAATGGGTTTAAACGGGCCAGTCCGCGGGTTCCGGTCCATTTTGACGGCTCTATTCATTGATGATACCAGAATTGGACTCGACCGTCCACATTGGGGGTACGGGTGGGATGTTATCTCTAATATTTTCTCCGTCCCATAAAACATCAACAATTTTTTATTTTGTATTCCAAAATATTCTCATTTCCATTAAAGTAAACAAATATGCTTAAAGTTATTTCTCTCTTTTGGTACAAATAGCAATTACACAATTTTCTATTCTAATTCTTTGTGCTAACTCTAGCAATCTGAAAAGGCGACTTTATGGTTGACGAGAGGGAAAGTGATGATATTAACCAACTAGATATTAACAGTATAGATAGAGTATTACAACATACGAAGTATTTATTCAGTGATGTATAATAAGAAGGGTTTGAAGGAATAGAATTGCATTTGTATTATCGATTTAATGCCATTAATATTAACTCGATGAATCTACATCATCATATGTGAGTAGTCATTTCTTAATATTAACTCGATGAATCTACATCAACATACTAGTTTCATTTAATTTATTGGATTGCATTATTGTCATCTTTCTACCAATTTATTCATTTATCTCACTTCATATCCATGTCCTATATTTCTTATATGAATATGACAACTAGCATGAGTGAGTGGTAAGGCTACGGATTGAGGTGTTTAAGGATTGTCAACCATGTTATGCACACATAAGTTTGTGAAAATGCATCTATAAGTTTCTAAAACTTTGATGATCACAATGTTCTTAGATGTTATTTTGGACCTTCAAAGAGACTTTTAGGATTCATTTTTACACATTCACACATTCTACATCCTCTCCATTAGAATGGGAGAAAATAGAGGATAAATTCTTGTTTGACCTTCTTTGTATGACTTTAGATTACTATTGAACCATGAGAGTGACCAATAGAAACCCTTAATACTCCCTTGACGATGAGATCGAGTGACAATGGAACTTGTATCTATCCCTTTTGTTGCATAATACTTTCTCAAAGATCCCCATTTTAACCTCTTACCCTCACTCATAGGCTGTTCCTTGTGTGCCCTCACCTCCCTTGTAGTTTAATCGTTTTATCTATTTTCATTACTATGTAGTTGTTTCTGTTTAACAAGCATACATCGATTTGGCTAGCTTACGTGTTGGATTATTAGATTGATTTCACACTTAATTTTCCATATACATTGTCCCGTGATACGATATTCAAGACTTCCACATACCGACACCCAATAAGCAACATTGTAAAAATGACTTGTCAATATAGTAAATTGGTGAATACTCTATAAGGTTTGTCATTTGTCTATCTTATGAGAAATTAATCAATTATTTTTCACAATTCCTATGCATATATAAAATATCATACAACTTTAACAAAGAGGATCGATCATTGGTAAAATTGTTAATTAAAAGGAACTATTGTTTATCATCATTATTACTCCAGTACCGCAAAGGCTTCCACTTATGGTGGGATAAGGGGGTTGAATGTACGCAGTCTTGCCCCTGTACTAAAGTACAGAGAGACTATTTCCGGATGACCCAAAGTAAAAGGAACTATCATTTTGCTAATTAAAAATGAATTAAAATAGAAATTTTAATCTTATTAAAAAAACAAACCAATGAAATTGCTAAATAAAAGGAATTACAAAGGATCATACCAAGTTAAACTCAAATAAGATTGATCAAAACAGTATTATGTATATACCTTTTCATGTTTCACAAAAAAAGTGCAATGATTTTGTGATTAATTATTCTATAGATAGATACATGCTTTTTTATATAACTCTTGTCTCATTAGACTTTACAAACATTGAATTATGTGAGAAATAAATAATGGTAAAAATTATGTGATCGTGGTTGATACATAAGAGAAAGAAATGAGTAGAATTATAAATTAAATTAAAAATCTTAATGGAGAAATATGAACGTTTTTGGGGCAATCAAGGAAGAAAGTTTGGCAAAATTCTATGGGATGCAGAAAGTATAAATTTGTGAAATATTTGTCCTTACCCATTTTACCTTTTAATTACTCTGTACTTTGTATATTTTGATTTTTGGCTTTAAGTTCTGCTTTCTTTTACTGGTGGTTCGACTGGTACAATTTTATATCTCACATAATAATCCATAATGTAACAATATATAAAAGTTACGTTAAAACCCTAATAAAAGCCAATAATATTCATCAAAATCAAAATTTAAATAAACCTATGAGAGTGAAAGTTTTACAATACTTAAAAGATTAGAACTAGATCTTTATCCGATTATAATTAAGTCAATCTCTACATTTTGTGAAGATATTTGCTTTTCGAAATGTGGAGGCATGATTGTAAAAAAAATCCAATTTTGTCTGATTCCTCTCGTTGGTATCAGACTTCCAGCCACATCAGCAGGCTCTAGATTATAATATACCCAGTAATGCGGAGTAACAAATTCCCAACGTGCTGAAATTAATCATTGAGAAAACATGGCAATCGAAGAAGGGTGCAACAAAGAAGAAATTCGGACTTCCCTACTTGGTGGCACTCATGATAAGGGGCAGAATGGAGCTTCATTTCTGGGTTCAGTGTTCAACTTGTCGAGCACCGTCGTCGGGGCCGGAATTATGGCTCTTCCGGCCACCATCAAAGTTCTTGGCATCGGACTTGGCATTTCCACCATCATTTTCATGGCAGTTTTGACCAATTTCTCTATAGACATTCTTCTAAGGTTTAGCGGGTCAAACAATAATTCATATGCAAGTGTTATGGGTGACGCGTTTGGGAATTGGGGAAGAAGATTGCTTCAAGTCTGTGTCCTCGTCAATAACATTGGCATACTTGTTGTCTACATGATCATAATTGGTATGCATATATTTTCACACTTTCAAGAATTTTTTCAGTATAAGTTTATGTTTGGGAAATTGACACCTTTAGTTCCCTAGTTATATTCTCGCCATACTTTTAGGGCTTGTTTGGTTCGAGAAATTTGGAGGGAAGGGAAGAGGAACGTTGGTTTTTATTTTACTAGTTTATCTCTATTTGTGATCCTTAGACTAGAAATAACTACTCCGTATAAGATTAGTTGTATGACTTGTGTCATGTATTCATGTGTATGTATAATTTCTTGTCTATGCGTTATTTCCAACCATCTAAATTTAAAAATAAATGCCACTGTGCCAAATCAGCCTTTAGTCCCAGACTAACTGGTCCCTCTATTTTCATCCCTTCAATATCCTTCAATTGGGGTTCTTAGTTTTCTTTAGTCTTGAAATGAAAATTGGGAAACAGATAGAAGTGATCCATATGACAAATGTGTACTAATAAACTCAAAGAATGACTTGGGGCTACGAGTGTCATTTAACTGGACATTCCATTTCCAAATTCTAATCATATCATTAGTTGATGTTTTGGTCCTGGTATAATTGTGAAAATTGTCCACTTTGCTAGGCCACAAACATCATCTAAACTTTGTATTCGTAGATAAAGTCCACTTTGGGTCAAACCTGCATGTATTTGTTTATGGCATTTACCAAAAGGACTCAACTATTGAATTGAGTAGACAGTATTCACAGTGATTCTCCCTTGTTTTTCCAATCATGGACTTGGGTTGCACCCAACACACTTTCCATTTTAAGTTCTCTAGTTTCCCCGCAAAGTGACTTTATTCTTTCCAGAACTGAAAATCGACAGGTCAAATGGTCAATTACCTTAAGTGTGACTTTATGTTTTTTTAGCTC